GGTTTAGGGTTTAAGGGTTTGAGGGTGTAGGGTTTAAGGGTTTAGGGTGTAGGGGTTTAGGGTGTAGAGTTTAGGGTTTTCGGTTTTGGGTTTGGGGTTGAGGGCGTCCCCCAAAGATTTCTTAGGGTTTAGGGTTTGTAGGGTTTAGGGTTTACCTAAGTTCCGAACCTTCCCCCCAAACCTCGTGAACCTCAGGACCATTTAATTCAATCCCCAAGTGTCAGGTGGTAGACCCCCTGACTCCAAAGCTACGACGTCGGCAGATCCCTTTCTAGGTGCTCGGAGGTTTTGATAGGGCAGAATCTGCAGTGTCTGTTCCCCGCAGAAGGGATCCTGCCGTGGAAAGGTGCACAGACAGGCGTCTCAAAGGCTCTTGCATTACCGAACTACCCTAAACCCTAAACCCTATGTAACCGTATCCAGGCCCGTTCGCCCCATTAGTGGGGTCTCCATGTCAGGCCAGAAGCCGCCCTGAGAGCCACAAGCCATGAAAGCCGCAAGCCACGGTGTTCTATAGGGTTTAGGGTTTAGGGTTTAGGGTTTAGGGTTTAGGGTTTAGAGTTTAGGGAACAAGCCCTAAAACACTAAAGCCCTTGCCCGAAGTGACCCATCCTTCTGGAGCTCCACGAACCCTTGCCGAGGCCTGGAAGTGGCATTCTGGCATCATCCCAGGGGGTGGGGGAGGGTTTAGGGTTTAGGGTTTAGGGTTTAGGGTTTAGGGTTTAGGGCTTTCCTGCAGTAGAGGGCATTGAATAGTTGGTGATAGTACCCCCTCGTAGTCCTTATATTCAGGATTGAGGGTTTGCGAATTGTCCGGGTTTGTGAATGTTTGAGCTTGAGGTTTTGATGCGAATTGTCCGGGTACCCTAGACCCTAAAAACCCTAAACCCTACACCCCTAAACCCTAAACCCCTAAACCCTAAACCCCTAATTGAGCTTGAGGTTTTGAAACGTTTTCAGGGGCTGGAGGGGGTTTTCGAACCCCTCCCAACACCCAAAGAGTGCCCTGCAGCAGCCTCGTGAAACTGTGGAGCACCGAACGCTACCTTGAAGGGTTTAGGGGTTTAGGGGTTTAGGGTTTAGGGTTTAGGGCGTCTCGCCGCGCAGCGGCAGTAAGTACCATGTGGAAATGGCGCCCCGACACACCCAGGGGTGTGAGGGGGCGGCAT